CCCCTCCCCCTCTCTCTCACAGCAAGAAGGTGGCTATCTACAAACTAGAAAGAGAATAGTCATCAGAAACTGAATCAGTCAGCCTCAATCTCAATCTTTGATCTTAGACTTCTAGCCTCCAAAATGGTGAAAAAATAATGTCTGTTGTTTAAGCCACCCAGTCTATGATATTTTTTTATTTTTTATTTTCAATTATAATTGACATACAACATTATATTAGTTCCATGTGTACCACATAGTAACTAGACATTTATATAACTTACAAAGTGACCCTGATAAGTCTAGTACCCATCTGACACCATACATAGCCAGAACAGATTGATACACAAATCAATGCAAGGCTGTATATGAATATTCCACAGAACATCTTCCCAGTCATCAGTTTCCTGGTATGATGCCTCTTGATTTCAGCAGTTTTTAGTATATTTACCATGTTGTACAACAATCACCATTATCTCATTCCAAACATTTTTGTCACCAAAAGAAACCTTTACACATTAGCAATCAATCCCATTTGCCCTTCCTCCAGTCCCTATCAACCTCTAATGCGTTTTCTGTTTCCTTATTTGCCTATTTTGGATATTCCATTTAAAGGCAGGAGGCGGGGAGGGGGCTCATACAATAGGTGGCCTTTTGTACATGACTTCCTTTATTTAGCGTATTTTTAAATCCATCCATGTTGCACACATATCAGTACTTTATTCCTTTTTAAAAATCCTCACCCAAAGGTATGTTTGTGGGGGATTTTTTTGGTGTTTGTTTTTCTGTTGAGAGAGAGAGAGAAACATCATTGTGAGAGAGAAATATTGATGCATTGCCTCCCATACCCACCCCTACCAGGGATCAAACCCACAACTTAGGTATGTACCCTGACAAGGAATCTAACCTGCAACTTTTTCGATGTTCTAACCAACTGAGCCACCTGGCCAGGGCAGTGCTTTATTCCTTTTCATGGCTAAATAATATTCCATTGTTTGTATGTCCCCCCCCCCCCATTTACCAATGTTGATGGACATTTTAATTGTTTCCAATTTTTGATACTTCTTGATTTTTAGTACTCACGCTACATACAATGTCAATGTTTTTCAGAGATATTTATATAGGAAAAATTTACATTTCCATCCTCAAAACTCTACAACATTTTAAACAAAATGATATATGAGGAAATTAACGGTTTATATTCTAACACATAGGTACTTTGAAAAGCATGCTGAGGGCCAGTGAAGGGAAATCCATGTGGGATATTGCTGGAGCTAAGGAAAAGATCAAAACATCACAGTCATCTATAGTGCATAAAGTTTACAGTAGAAAGTCTTGGTTTAGGTTCTTCAAAAGCAGGTTTCTGCTTTTCTAAGACAAGGATTCAAGTGCAAATAAATCTTTTGGCTAATGATCTGGGAAATACCAGTAAAGGAAGTCAGTGTAGAGTACAGGCCTCAACATTACTCCCACAGAGGGGTGAGGGAGCACAGTCCTTATTCTGGTCAGTCCCTGGGAGAGGACTGCTCCCACAGTTCTACCCGGCGACAAAGACCTAGTGAGCTCCCATGGACTCTGCGAGCCCTCAGGCGAAGAATCTCTGGTGCTGGCGCTGGAAATCAGCCATCAGCCAGAAAGGCCAGGGGAGATATGGGCAGTCACAGATGGTGTCTGCTTCTGTGTTAATCAGGGTCCTCCAGAGAAGCAGAACAAACAGAACCAATACAGGAGCAGATATAGGAGGAGATACATTACAGGAATTGGCTCATGCGGTTATGGAGGCTGAGACATCCCACAATCTGCCATCTGCAGACTAGAGAACAGGAAGCCAGTGGTGTGATTCAGCCCGAGGCCAAAGGCCTGAGAACCTTCCTGGGGCCCGAAGGACCAAGAACCAGGAGCTCTGACAGGGCAAGAGAAAATGGATGTCCCAGCTCAAGAAGAAGGAGGAAATGTATCCTTCCTCTGCCTTTTTGTTCTCTTCGGGCCCTCAACAGATTGGATGATGCCCACGCACATTGGTGAGGGTGATCTCTTTACTCAGTCTACTGAACCAAATGTTAATCTCCTCCAAAAATACCCTCACAGACACACCCATAAATAACATTTTACCAGCTATCTGGGCATCGCTTTAGGCCAGTGAAGTCAACACATAAAATTAGCCAGCATAGCTACATAGGACATTCAAATAGCGCACTTTACTGCACACAAAGCAATCGTTAGTTAATAATTATTAGTATAATAAGAGGCAAATTTTTTTGGTGATCAGAAAGTGATGATCAAGCAATTTATATCCGAACATGAACATTTTGTTTATTATATTCAGGCTTTTTACTCTGCTGTGTTACAGTTGAGGAAATGCTTAAGCATTGACCAATAGCCATTGCAGTTTTTCCCACTTAAATTAATGGCAAATAGAATACCATCAGCGTTTGCTGCCTATAACACCTGATATTCAGGACTGGAGTACTCGTGCTTAGAGGAGATGCCTGTAATCAAGTGCTCTACCCCAGGTCAGATCCACCGTGGAAAAAGAGACATCCTTGTGCATGCGCCGCAGGGGGTGGGAAGTGCTTCACTGCACAGTCTGAGAGAGTGAGGAGGAAGAGCGGAAAGCAGAGGGGGCCTGATTGAGGGATGTGAGGGTGGGATGTATGGCAAGCCCACAATGTAATCTTTTGGGGCTACCCTTCCCCAGCCAGCATTGAAACTTATCATTGTTGAAGTGATCTTGGGACTACAGGAACTGGGCTCCATCTTTATATGACCACTAGAGGCCCGGTGCATGAAATTCATGCATGGGGTGGGTCCCTAGGCTTGGCCAGCAATCAGGGCTGATCTGCGGGGCGACCGGTGGGGCAACTGGGGCCCCGCTCGCACCCACCTTGGCTGGCCTGGTACCGTCCGCTCGCCAGCCCCGCCACCGCCGCTGGTCGGGGGCCTGCGGGCTAGGGGCATCTGCTGTGTTGAATGTCTGCCCCCTGGTGGTCAGTGCGGATCATAGCGACCGGTCATTCCGCTGGTCATTTCACCATTTGGTCAATTTGCATATTAGGGTTTTATACAGATAGATGAGAACTGTTTGCTAAATAACTGTGTCCTCTAAATATTTATAACAAATCAGAGGTACAGACATAGTAGTTTATCAGCTACTAAGTAATGTTGTTGCAAATCCTTAGTAAACCATTTATAAAAGATCACTCCCAATAACGCATGCATAAAATAAACATAAACACAGAAGATATTTTTCTGTTTCCTAGGGTTTCAACCCCTTTTACCACCACCTCAGAACACATGAGGGACATGGCACCTCTCTCCCCGCCAGCTTCTGGCTGCCTGGGCAGAGCTGCAGCAGGGCCCTATGGTTGCTAATGACCACATGGCCTTGCTTTGTTTTGTTTTGTTTTGTTTTGTTTTGTTTTGTAGAATAACCTTAATGGTTATATTTAAGCTAACTTAAAGTTGTATTTCTATCTAATGGGAAAATGAAACAAGATATGTCAGTAGAAACTGTTTCATATTAAATGATCTACTAAACAGTGGTGTTTGTGGCACAAAATCACAGAAAATGTATCCATACCTTTATCACATTTTCCTGATGAGAGTGTAACTTTGAAATGGCATTCTCAGTGGTTAAAAATGTAACCCTTCAACCACCACCACCCAAAAAATGAGTTGGAATGGAAGGGCTGGGGCTGAAGGTGATGGAAGATGAAGAGAGATGGCTCCCCAGGTGATTCAGAGACCTACCCCCCTGTGGCCATGACCCTGCACCGCTCCAACATCAGCTGCAGCATAACTGACCAAGAGCCCTGCACTGAAACCCATCGCTGTGTTTGTGGGGAGACCAGGATTCCAGCCTATGACTGAGTGCTGCAAAGACACTAAATACCAAGGCAAGCCGAGTCCTGGGAGATGGGGACTTCCCGAGCCCGTGACTGGCTCGAGGACTCCATGGCAGCCTTGCTGAACCCTCCTTTGACTCTAGGTGATCTAGGGTGTTTCCGTCAAACCTTCCTTCTCTGTCTCCTTCAGTCAGAGTCAGGCTCGCATCACAGTTCGATGGCTCCCCAGCTTATCTGCCTTCCTCTCCACCTTCTCTCAAACAAATGTTTCCCTGACTAAAATCCTTTCACATCTAATCCCATTTTGGAGGCTTCTCAGGGGACCCAGAATAACACACTTTCTCAGTTTACAACCACTGATTTAGATTCTCCATGCCCAGAATTTCCGGCACTGTGTTAGAAATAGAAAGCGTATACCACTCAGTTTTACATGTTCTTCAGAATATTCCTCTAGCCAGGTGGCTGCTTTTCTATGACGTGATCTGCTACTCTTTATAATTTCCCCTAAAATAAGCTCTTCCAGACTTAAATCCTGAACTTTAATTCATCTAATTAGTAATTATTCTCTAAATGGTGTCATAACCACAAAACCTTTAAAAAAAAAAGCAATTGGTTTCTTCTATACTTCCCTTTTTAAAAACATGTTTTTGTTACATTTTTGCTTCTTTGAGATGTTATGTTAAAACAAAACCAAAAAGATTTCTAGGTTCTGAAACACTGTTTGGTGATGTGACGATTCTCAACTTTTATTGGGTTCAGAGACCCTTCAGGGACCCAGCACTGGCCTCAGAAAAAGAATTAGGCATGAAAATTTTTACACAAAAATCTTAGGCTAAGGGTCTTTCTAGGCTAAGGAGCATTTCACAGTGCCCTACTTGCTTCTCTTAATTGAATATTTTTGCTTGCTAATCTGAGCTGCTTTTGAAAAGGGAAAAGTCAAACTTGTTGTCCACACTGATTCTTTGGAATTTCTAAGTCAACAGAACAACAAATGTAAGTCTATATAGCTTATTTATGTTATAATAGTGATGGTTATTTTTTTCACATAATCTGCAGATCTGAAGCAGAGAGTTTACAGGGGAAGATAATGTGGGAATATGGAATGTAGGCTCTGGAGACAGACTTCCTGGGTTTAAATTCCATACTGCCATTCCTTAAGTGTACCAAGCACTCTCTCACTTCAGGGCCTTTGCACCTGCTGTGCCCTCTTCCTGGACACCCCTCCTCTCAAATATTTACATGGCTCATTCCTTCGCTTCTTTAGCTCTTTTCTCAAGTGTGACCTCATCAGAGAGGCCTTCCCTATAGGATCCTACTCTCCATCACTCTCTACCCTGACTTGGCCTTATATTTTTTCATAGAACTATCACCACCAGCTTTACCATCTGCTTATTTGCTGTTTGTGTCCTCCTTAAAGGACATAAGCACACACACACACACACAGCAATCCCTTGCTAGAACAGTGTCTTACACATGGTAAGTGCTCAAAAATATTTGTTAAATAAATTGTAGGACTCCCAAATGATATACTTTTTGGAATGTTTATAACAGACAAACACTGCTTCTGGTATAATATTCTAAATTACTTTTAAGTACGAGTATGCTAGTCATCTTTTAATAAGAGTTAAATGACTGTTCAAAGCAAATATTTTTGTCTGCAAAAATATAGTATGGAAGTACCTATTGATTTAGTTACCTTGGGATTCCAATAAAACTTCCAACACAAAAATGTATCCAAAAGTTCATAATGACCGCTGATGCTTAAATAGTGCTTACTGCTTTAAATGCTCTCATAGCCCATGACACAGGCAGCTATTTTCTCCATGTTACAGATAAAAAAGCCTAGGCACGAAAAGTTGGTAATCTATCCAAGATCACCCAGTTAACAAATGGCAGAGCCAGGCCCTAGCTAGTTTGGCTCAGTGGGTAGAGCACTGGCC